CTCCGTCAACCCGCAGTCTGATGTATACATTGGCAGCACCAGCATCACTTATCCCAGTCGAGAACACAATCGTAGAGCCAAGTTGCTGGGTATTCAACACGGACAATTTATCAATGCGGAACCAGCACTCAGATGGTGGCATCACTTTGACAACTATGACGAGTTTGCTACTTGGGTTATCCTGACAGACCCCGACCACAAGGTCACCTGGACTCAGGAACATGCCTTGATCAGCATGTATCAGCCGTCGCTTAATTGGCCCTACATTCATCGGCGATACAAGCGCATCTCCACCGGCTACACGGCCACCAGGTTTCTTGCAGAACAACCCTGGTCCAGGTTCGGCAAACGCCTTTTCGGAACTTTCATCGAGTGGCGCTCAAACACACTCAAGCCTGGTCCATCATCGCCCGCCTCACCTCGGAGCACATTGAATCCTGGGAAGAAGAAAAACGACTCCGTAGTGGACGGCACTCGGACTTGGACATCTATGCCATCTACAGGTTGTCTGGTAATGTGGAACAGCCTCATCGGCATCGAGTTCGCAACATTCTCCGACGAGTTCTTGATTTCCGTCAACTTCAGCAACCCAGGATCAATTTGTTATTGCGATTACCGTGGCTGTCCCACCCACATTATCAACGGACCACCCGAGAAGTTCTTCGTCGTCTCGTCATCGACCACCGCAACTGGGCCCTTCCATTCCACTCACCCAGTACGAAGCTGGCCGAGACTCCTCATCCTCGAGTCCACACAGTCATGTGGAACTTCTCGTCATTTCAGGACTGCTACCCCTTGACATCCCCAGGACCATCATCGTGCCAATGCGAAGCCTGGCTAAAACGTCAGCCCTGGCTATCCCATGTTCAAGGTCATGTGGCAGCGGGATTAGATGAGTTCCGGTTTCCCGGAACCCCCCATCACGTTCACTACACTTCAGCACTGGCGTCGTATTATGTGGACTTCGCGGTCTACGAAGTGCAAGTTCATGAACGCTTACGGAAATGGTGCTTGCATCACGGACTCCCCCTGGACCAGTTCCACGCACCTCTCATGGAGCACCTACGCAGTCAATTCAAGCAACATCGGCAGCACACATCCACCCATCAGCTCCTTACCAAGCATCAACTCAACATCCTGCATCGACACCTTTGCCAGGACTTTGTATGCCACAACGAGGATCACGACAACCACCACCTCATGTTCTTCTGCCCTCAACTCTACTTCAAAGGCCTCCACAACACCTGGCTTCAGTCCGGCACCTTTGCAGCTACTCCACTGAAGCCCGATCAAGCCGGGGCCCTTATTCTTGAAGCCATTCCGCGGCACCTGCAGAAGCGGTACAAATGGGCGTACAGGAAGAAGACCACCTCCATCCCGGTTGGAAGCAATGGAAGTCGGGGCGGACCATTATAGCCTACCATAAGGTGGTACATCGGCAGCTCTTCAAAGCAGTCGCAATCCTTCTCGGCGAGATCGCAGCCGACACATGGAAATGTTCATGGGGGATACACCCCACACCGAGGATATGGCAGAACATCAAACAGTATTTTGACAACACAGACGATACAGTCACCCTTGCCTTCCACAATGACGATTTGGTCGGATTCTTCAATAGTGTCCCTCAGGATCAAGTGTGTGCAGCAGTCGAGCAGCTATTAGCCGAGCACCAGCGAGGGCGACCCGGTCTCGTGTATTCAGTGGAAACCCAGGCAGCTGTCCACTACAATCGAGTGTTTGCGGGCAAGCAATCCTACGGACCGACCACGCGTGTCATTTACATGGAAGACATCCTGGGTATCGTCAAGTCCAGCTTCCAATGCATGTATGTCCAGGTTGGAACTCTCATCCTGCGCCAAGTCCATGGTACAGCGATTGGCTCTCAGCTGAGCCC